GTGCAGCGCCTCGACCGCAAACGGTGAATCCCCCTCTTTTGGCGCGGGGGAGACTGATGCCCAGTGCAGGTTGCGTTTTGCACTTGCACTGCATTCGTGCAGTCGCAATTGCTCGTGATGGTGCTCACTCCTGCATGTCTTGCTGTCCACTGTGTAGCTTCGTCTCACGTCATCGCATTCCCCCTCGATCTGCCCCCCAGCCCCCCCCCCCCCACCCCCCCCTGCGCCCAGCATGGGTGCATCGGTGCTTTTCCTTTGTAGTGGATGCCTTCTGTGAGCAGCCATTCCCATTCAGCGGCAGGCGCGCATGAGTCTGCTCCCTCCTACTCCTTTCTTTGGATTGCCTTTCGCCGCTGACAATGAAATAGATCTGCGCCAATCCAGCGGCGTCGCTTGCGATTGTCGACGCTTCGTAATAATGTCCTCCAGCTTGCTCCTGCACCCCGCGCTTGCTTCTCTAGCTATTGCCGAAGACCCCAGCTCGGCCATTCCGCATCCCCCCAGGCGGTACGCGCCTGCAGGGCCTCGCCGTCGCCCATTTTCCTCGATGCCCAGCGCCCTGCCTGACATCCAACCCATCGTCTGCAGCATGACCACCCCCCCCCCCCCCCCCCCACACGCACACACGCACACACACACACACACACACACACACACTCTGCCTGCGTGAAGCGCGCGGGCTGTGCTTGTCCAAGTCCCCCCCGCCATCGCGCTTCTCCGCCGATCGCGCCCTGCGCTCCTCCAGCGTCTTGCGCGGCTGCTCGGGGCCCCATAGGTTGACTGCGGCTTCTTATGACACCCATGTAAGGTCTACAGCCACTCCCCGCGGGGGGAAGGCTCGCCTTTTGCGCGGCTTCCCTGCCGTACCTTCGCGCGTCTCTCTCTCTCTCTCTCTCTCTCTCTCTCTCTCTCTCTCTCTCTCTCTCTCTCTCTCTCTCTCTCTCTCTCTCTCTCTCTCTCTCTCCTCTCTCTCTCTCTCTCTCTCTCTCTCTCTCTCTCTCTCTCTCTCTCGCTCTCTCTCTCATCTCTCTCTCTCGCCTCCCCCCCCCCCCCCCCCACCCCCACACACACACGCACGCACACACACGCACACGCACACCGCACACACGCGCGCACGCACGCGCGCGCGCACGCACGCACGCACACACGCACACACACACACACACACACGCCACGCACACACACACACGCCAAAAAAACATACCAAAAACACACACACACGCACACGCACACGCACACGCACGCACACACACACACACACGCGCGCAAGCACGCACGCACGCACGCACGCACGCACGCACGCACGCACGCACGCACGCACGCACGCACACACGCACACACACACACACGCACACACCGCCACCTCCCACGCCCCGCCCCGCCCACCCCCGTCCCGCGCACTTGCGCTCTCAACGCCGCATCTTGTGGAGCGGCAGTTTTTTCGCGCGCATCTCGCCACGCCCTTTCCCGTGCCCATCAAGACCCATTCTCCCTGCATGGGGGCGTTTGCCCAGATCAGTAAGCCACTCCACCATGCCCCGCCGGGTTCGCGCTGAGAAAGGGCACCTTTGTTTGCCCCATCTCCCATTCCACTGGCATTGCACCCTGAGACATTGCGTCTCGCTGAAGCCGCTGTTCTCGCATGCTCTCCATATGTCCGCTGCTGGTATTGTATGCATTCGTTGTCCAGATCCGTCCTTTTCTAGGGTCGCGCATTATGTGTCCGCGCCAATTCCTGCTTGATCTCATCGAACCCATATCCACTCATAGCTTCGTCATCTCAACCAGTAGATGGTGGCGTAAACATTTAAATGCGGCTACCACCTTGCATTCCAGCTTCTCCCTGATCGGGGACACCACTCCCGCGGCTTTTCTGCCAGCCTCGCTCCACATTGCCCGCGTCTGATTGCTGCGGGGCGCCCCTGCATCCCACTCCAAGCATCGCCTGCCGCGACCCCCCCCCCCCCCCCCTAAGTTGCACCCAGAGAAAAAAACTCGCGAATGCTTCTCCTGGGGGGGGAGGGCAACAGGGCCCCCCGGTGATGCGTTCCGAGAAAACCTCGTTCACGTTCCACTTGGAGGCTGGGCCAAGGTCGCAGTCCGAGAAGGAAACTCGCCAATGCTTCTCCTGGCTGCTGCGACTGGGCGGTCTGCAGGCGGCGGTCAAGCGCGCGCAAGAATTCTGTTCTCTGTCGACCTATCCCTGAACACTACATCAGCATGTTGCGGCCCACCTCTTTGTCAGATCTCCACAGCCTGTGCTTGCCCGGAATATGAAATTGGCGTCCGAGTCCGGTTTCCAAGCCCAATGGGATGTGGCGTATGTGTCCTCTCGCTTTTACCTTATGCGGTTTCTTTGCCACTCCTTTTCAATGCTGCAAACCTCCGCACATGTGGTGCGTAAGTGCCCCCGTCGGTATTGACGCAGTAGTAAGTAGGCCCACAATCAATGAAAGCCAGGACCACAGACAACAGGCTGTGAACACAAAATCCCCTGAATGCTCTGCCGTCGTCGTTCTCCACTTCCCCAGCCACTGGTCCCAAGGCTGCTGCATGTTTGCTGGAACTGTGACCACTGACCACCAGCTCCCCGCTGCCTGACCTTTGCATTCCCAAATGACTGTTGGCGCCCCCATCTCGCAAGTATAATAGATCTGCCACCCGTGTCGTTGCATGTCCCCTCGGCCTACTTGCCCCCTCGACCCATTTCATACTTCTTCGAAATGATTCCAAGTGTTCGTGTGCCCCTTGTCTGGCGGTAAATAGAGTACAAATATTGTCACATCGTACGCTCTCGTCCTCAATATGATGCTTGCCGTTCTACGTTGCAGTTGGGCAGGACGTGAGTACTTCGTGTGGAAGGCCCTGTCTGTCATCATCTCGTTGGAAGACATGAGCGTCGTACCATACGATTGTTAATCAACTTTCCTTCTTTGCCCCGAATTGCAGAGCCGCATGATGCGTGGCTCGAATTCTTCATCGGCTCTGGCCCAGCCAATTCTTGTGTGTCCCTGTCAACACAACCACATCCCACTTTCGTAATGCACTGCTTATCTTTTCCGATATGTCCGTGGCACTCGCTGCAAAAAGGATTGTACAATACCAGCTTCATCAGTCCCCACGTCAAAAACGTTGCAATTGCCATCCATCTGCCGTGCCCCCCTGGCTCCATCTCTGGCCCGTGCGGTTGCGGGGCGGCCATTGCGAGAAAGATTCAGCAACTCTTTTCTCCGTCGGTTCTCAAAGTGCCTGAACCTCCAACGCCGACTGAAAAAGAAAGGGGGGGGAGGAAGCAGCGGCCCCCGGCCGCCCGGCCGCCCCCGCCTCGAGGCCAGGGCTGCAGAGGGCAGGACCTCTCAGACGGATCCAGGACAGAATTCGTTCAGGGTTTAAGGTTTAAGTTATGTTACCCCCATCATACTTAAGGACCACACCCCAGAAATAATTTCGAGCACCCCGAAATGTACCGAACCAGTGTCGAACGAGTATCGCCTGCCAGGGCTCGGCACGTGACAAACCTTCAACTTCGGTACTTATTTGGTGCTCGAAATTCTTTCTGGTGGTCAAGGCTGACGTAGGTTGGAACACCATAAGGTTTAGGGTATTGGATTCCTGGTGGGAACTCGCGCGGGAGGAACCGCGGAGGCAGGGAAGGAAACACTGGGTGGTGGTAATCGGCGCCTTCAAGTAACGGGGGGGGGCATTTATTTCTCTTCGTTCGGAAGACGGATACAATCGGGTGAGCACACAATTGGCAGCGCGCACAAATGGGGTAGGGGGGGGAAGGCTTTTTAGAAGGAGGCTGCCTCTTAGAAAACGCGGGCACTGCATCTACAAACAAGGCCCGAGTCTTGGGAGAAGCAGACTCATTCTGAGAAGCCTGCCCCCTCCCCTTAGACCCCCTCTGCGTGTGGCTGAGAATCTCTGAGTTCTGGCGGCTTTGGAGGATGTCTCGGGCGCCACGTCCTTCTCGGAGCGTTCCGGATCGCTCTGAGAGCATTCTGGAACGCCCTGGGATGGATTCATTCTCGTCCTAGGCCCGCCCGAAAGATTTGGACGCCCGAAATATCTGAGATAACTCCTGTCTAGGGTGCCTCTGGCTTGTGCCCCAGACGCGCGAACCAGGAATGAATTACCCCTGGCCGCCCTCAACCCCGATGATTCGGGAACGGTCGGACGCCATCATCATCCGGGATAACTCTGGTCCGGGACAACTGCGGCTTGGGCCCCCGAGGCACGAATCATGAGCTACCCCTGACCAACCCTGGCCCTGATGATTCGGGGATCTGACATGACGCGAACAGATTGGAACCGTCGGACGGATGAGTCGGGGGTCGAGGGCTTTGTGCAGGACAGAGCAGGAAGAAGGGGCCCCGCCTGCACGGCACATCGGCTGTGCACAGTATCACATACCAAAGGCCAAGATACTGATGCGAGATACAGTCCAAGCTGAGTGCGAGGTGCCCGGTCGATCTCCACTGATGCTCTTCACCCGACAGGCTGGTACTGTTAGATTTGGAACCACCACACCAGACCCGCCTCGCACACCCTGCATACCACGGCGGCCGAGCCCCTCGAGGGTCCCGGTGCTCACTGGGTATCCAACCTCGCGTCTTCGACGAATGACTACTGCATGCCGCGGCCACCAGGCCCCGGATGTCCCGGGCATCCTGCCTTGCGGTCTCGGGTGGGCCTCTTGTCGTCCTCTGGAGGCATCCGGAGGCCCCCCGGGGCCCTGGGGGCCTGCGGGGACCTCCTGGGCCTCTGCAGGAAGTCCCACAGGAGGTCCGAGCGGCGCCGAGGAGAGAAAGAAGAGGAGAGGAGGAGAAAGGGGGGAAGGAATAGGAGGAGGAAGAGGACGAGCAGAAAGAGGAGGGGGAGACGGAGGGCGAGAGCGAGAAGAAGGGAGGGAAAGAAGGAGGGAGGAGGAGACTGTTCGGGTTCTTCCCCTGCCCCCTGGCCCTCCCCGACTGGGCGGCTAGGCGGCCACGGGCATGGAGGTCGACCAACCGCCATGCGACAACGAAGAGGAACATCCCGAACCCCGTGATGTAGGCCCCGCGCTGCTTCCTCTTCAGGCCCCGACGACGACTGACACCTTATCCCCAATCTCCTCCGCCATTGCTCCTGCCCGTATCGTCCTGCTTCTCCTTCTGCTAATTCCCCCACCTCCTTTTCATTCGCCCTCCTCCTCCACCTCCCCTTCCTCTGCCTCTGCCTCCTCCTCCTCCTCCTCCTCCTCCTCATCATCATCATCATCATCATCATCCTCTTCCTACTCCCTCTCATCCCCCTCTCCTTATCATCATCCTCCATCCGTTTCACTGGTACATCAACAAACCCTGTCGCGCCGCCATACGTGTCAGTAGGGCGGGCTGGGCGCTTCGTCTGAGATCAGCTACGACCCTGAAACTCATAGTCTGCCGACCCTTCGGCGTGTGGAAGACGCGGTCGTCATCGTCGTCGTCGTCACTGGGTCCTCCTCCTCCAGCGCGCCAGCCAAAACGCAACCGAACCGCAACCTCAAGCGCGCCAGCCAAAACGAAACCAAACCGAGCAGCGTCGTAGTTGACTCGAAGGGAAGGCCCTTCCCTTTGATCCCTTCTGTCCGAGGGGGGTTGGGGGAGTCTCGGGGGGCCGGGGGGGGGGGGGGAAGGAGGGGTGTGGAGGGCGGGAGGCCCGTGAAGAAGGTCCGAGGTCAGAATACCACCCTCCCCTGCGGGGTCCTGGGACCCAAAAGGGCCAGAAAGACAGCCCAGGAAGTTCCCAAGACGGTCCAAGAGGGCAGAGAAGTCCTCCTCACAGCCCAAGCGGCTGCCAACACATTCGAAGAAGCCTCCAAGAGCACACCAGTAAGGCCCCAACAGGCAGAACTAAATAACTGTCCTCAGGTGTTTGGAAGATACTTGGGGTGCCACTGTTTCGGCTTCCCGACGATCCAAGACGGCCCAAGGCACCACCAAGATCGCCACAAAAGGCCCCCAAGAGGTTCCCGAGACGGCCCCAAAGCGACCCGAGAGGGCCCCAAGACGGCCCGAGAGGCCCCTCAGGCGGGCCCAGGGGACCTCAAAACGGCTCCGAGAGGGTGCCCACATGGGAGCCAGGACGAACATTTCGAGCCATCGGCCCCGAGGAGCTCCAAGGAGGCCCCAAGATGCCTTCAAGAGGCCCCTTCTGGGACATCCGAAGAGACGCTCAAGCGGCTCCCAGGAGACCCCAAGGAGGCCCCAAGAGGCCCCCAAACTGCCCCCCAGAGGCCTCAAAGCGCGCCAACGAGGCCCCGCGAAGCATCCCTGATGACTCTGCCGCCCCACGTCCGCCACCGCCGCCGCCGCCGGCGTCGTCGTCGTCGCCGTCGTGTCGTGTTCGTCGTAGTCGTCGTAATCGTCGTCGTCGTCATCAGGGTCGGCGGAACTGGCCGCAAGGCCTTCCCGATCTACAAAAAACCTCAATCGCTCCGAAGGTGCTGTCTTCAACCTGTGCCTCTCGCTTCAACGCCGCACGCATTCATTTCAGTCTGCAACAACTTTCAGGGACGCAAGGGGTCAAAATGTAGCTCACGCCTTGGCGCCGCGCACACTCGTTTAAGATGCTGCAGCCGTTTTGCACAAACAAATACTCTCGCCTCAGCGTCGCGCGCAATCGTCGCAAAACTGTGCAACACCCGCACAGATGGACCACAGGTCGATTTTTTAATGGTGATCTAGTCCCAGCGCCGCGCACACTCGCTTTAAAATGTTGTGGGGGTATCAGGTGTAAAGGCAGACGCGTTCAAAATGGAGCTCTCAGGTTTGCGCCGCGCGCATTCGGCCTAAGAATTTGCATTCCAATGTGTAGAAGGGTCGTTCTCAACAGTGGGACTCTCAAAATTGGGGTCGTGTACGATCGTGCTGAAATCCGCCAGCCCCCTCCGGGGGCGCAAGGCTGCGAAGGTATGTGCAGTCAATTGTCATGTGTTATGTGTTCAGTCCTGTTTCCTGTCACCTGTTTACTGTCTGCTAAGGAGCCCCGCCGCGTCACCAAACAGCCAACGGGGCCGCTAGAGCGTGGCTGCAAAACGCCAATTTGTCGCACGTTGTCCCCTTCCATCTTACCTTGTGCAGCGCAGCGAGGGTCAACCCGGAATTCTCATGGTGAGGCCACCGCGCGGCCAGAACGGCCCGAGAGGCCTCCAAGATTGCCCGACGAGGCTCCGAAGAGAGCCGCAGGAGGCCAAGACGGCCCAAGATGGCCCAAAGATGCCCCGCGATGGCCCCGTGATGGCCCAAGGTGCTCCCAAGACAACCCAAAAGGCCTCCAAGAGGCCTCCCAAAAGGGCCCCGCGAAGCAAAACTCAACCATCTCTTCACGTTTGTAAAGGTTGTTGTCTTGCCTTTCCGGCTTTCCGACGCTGCGAAACGGATCAGCAGAATCCCTGGATCGCCCCACGACGGCTCTAAAGCACCCACGACGGCCCAAGAGGTCCTCAAGACGGCCCCCAGACGGCCGAAAATGGCCCCAAGACGGTCCAAGAGACGCCCCACAGGGCCCTCAGACTGCCCCAAGAGAGGCCAAAAAGGGAACCCACGAACCGAATCTCTACCTTTCCGCCCCGAGATGGCCCCAGACTGCCCCAAGAGAGGCCCCCAAGAGGCCCCAAGAAGGCCCCCAAGAGGCCCCCAAGAGGCCCCAAGCAGACCCCCAAGAGACCCGAAATGTTGTTTCCAAGAGGCCCCAAGGAGACCCCCAAGAGGCCCCCCCAAGGAGACCCCCAAGAGGCCGCAAGGAAACCCCCGCGCAAACGATTCACAGTTGGGTTCCCGACTTAGCGTCCCGCTAAGTCGCCTCAAACTCTTGCAACATCTATAAGGATGGAACACACTTCGTGATCAAAACGGTGTTGTTACCTTAGCGCCACGCGTATTCGTCCTTCAAGCTTCTGACGGGTAGGATGATATAGGGCCATGAGTTGTCCGAGCGGGGTGCCTTCTAGAGACCGGCGTACTTGTGAAGACCCGAAAGGTTAACGCAGGCGCGACAGAAAGGACCCATGGCGGATCCTTCTTAACATGGAATGACCGCCTGCGACTTACTCGATGTACGCGACCATGCGCGTCAACTGGTGCAACACTTGCATTGATGGTAGGCGGGTTCCTTGCACAAAAAGAATGTCTCTGGACGTCGCTGGACACCTCGCTGAACTGCATGATCAACGTTTGTCTCTATCCTGACTGCGCGCCCGAAGGATGCGATGCACTTCCTTTTTCAAGCACGGTCCCAGCACTTCCTTTTGCACTCATTTTTCAGCACAAGATGCGATGCACTTCCTTTAGCTCCAACAACAACCCACAACAACGTCCGAAGCGCCGAACTGGAGCTACTGCTACTACTGCAACTGCACGCCGCTCAAGGCCAACGGAGAGAGAGAAGGAGAGAAAGAGAGAGAGAGAGGGAGACGGGGAGGAAAGACAGAGAAGAGACATGGCCCGACCCAGCTCCCGCAACGACCCTCCAGCATCCTCTCGGCCTCTGGGGGCCGAGCCGCCGTCGAGCCGCTCGACGCTGGCAGCGATGCATAGACCAACGCTCTGACGATCCAGGCGCACGCCCCTGCCGCACGAGGAGGACTCAGGACGGGAGGGTGTATTGTAGCGTCGCTGATGCATCTTCGGCTCACTGTGGTCCTCCTCCTCCCTCTCCGCCACCTTCCCTCTCCGCATCTCCGAATCATCCTCCCAGTCCCCTCACTTTTACCCTCCCGTCCGTTCAACGCCACTCCGTTTTCTCCTCATTTCACTCCCGTCATCCCTGACCGTCCCTGGAGGAGGAAATGGGGGCAGGGAGACACTGCCTCTTCATCCTCCTCCCCTTCCTCCTCCTCCTGCTCCCGCCCCTCATCCTCGCCCTCCTTCGCCTCTTCCTCCCCCTCCTCCCTGTCCTTCTCCCTCTCCCCCACCCCATGACTATACAGATGCGTATGTCATTGTATGCAAATTATATATATATATATATAGTACACCAAATGTGTTCACACTTACACATTTCTCTTTAAGCTCACCCACTCACTCACTCACTCAAACACCAACTCACTCAATTGACTCACTCACTTAGTCTCTCACTCCGTCACTCCGTCACTCCGTCACTCGCTCACTCACTCTCTTCCCAATCCCCTCTTCCAACCCCCTCCCTGGAGCGGTGCCAGCTAGGAGAGAGTGAGGTACTGCCTCTCCTCCTCCCTCCCTCCCCCCTCGTCCGATCTTCAGGGCTCTCCCGCCCACCCCACATCCGGTCACCAAGAACTATTCTCCAGCCCTTGCCGGGAACCATCCCGGCACACGCATCCAGCCGTGGCGACGAGAAGCCTCCGGGAAGCCCGAGAGGGACCCACAAACGCCCGGGGGGGCCGCCGGCAGCTCGACTGCCCCTCCCCAGTCCGACCCCATCCTTTACCCTATTCCACAACTGCACATCATGAATACTCCTCCCCTCTCTCCCCGGATGGCGTGCGGAAGATATCCGGCCCCCTCCGCGTACTTCTCTAACACACAAGATTCGTCAAAGTGTTGTTCCCGCTGAAACGCTGGCCTCATTTTCGGGCTTCCGCTCGCTCCGAATCGTGCTCCCGCTGCAGCGCTCAATTCCACGCTTCCGCTTGCTCCGAAACGTGCTCCCGCTGCAGCGCTGGCCTTCCTTCCAAATAGGCCCCAAAATCTGAAAAAATGCCCCCCCGAACAAAAAGCATCGGAAGTGATTACACATTCGGTGTCGGTTCGTTGATTTGTTGGTCCGCAGAAGCCCCTCCCCCACCTGGGGGCGTCGTCGTTTTCAGGACGTATCCAGCGGGAGCCCCGTTTCTGCTTTGAGGAGGTAATGCCGAAGCAGAGCTAGCGGGTGCTCTCCATCAGCCCCGACTCGTGTGGAGCTTTCCGGGGAGCCCAGGGAGCTAGACATGGAGCCACGACTCCAGATCGGCCCAGACCTCTCGAAGACGATCCACGTACCCTGCAAAGAACCTGGCGCCATGCCATGACATCCTCTGCGGTGGTGTGTCCTGCGCCGCTGTGCGATGCCATGCTCTACGTTGCCAATGCTTTGGGATGCAATGCTTCACTGCGCAATGCCACGCCATGCTATGTCATGCAACGCTCTGCCGTGCTCTTCTGCGCCATCCCATGCCGTGGTCGACCATGCATCGCGTACCCTCTCGCGATCATTGCCCTGCTCGACATCCCACTGTGCGAATAGAGGGGCGACCGATGCCATGGTAAGGGATGGGAGGGAGAGGTAGGTCGTCAGATATGAGGCGAGCGCACCTAGCTTGTCATCCTCCCCATCCCCTTCCTCCCCTCGCTGGGCTGTCGCCTCTTCTCCCTTCGTCGGGCTGTGGTCTCCTCCCCCTCCCCCTCCTCCCCTCGTCGAGCTCGTCCTCCCCCTCCTCCCGCCCCCAAGATTGAGTCTGATGGGGCCGGAAGATGATGCCGCGGGCCGCACTGCCGATGCCCTGGCGATGGACCGGCAACGCTGGCAATGCGTCGGCGGTGTCGGCGTGGAGAGTATCGGCTCCACAGTGAGCGGCATCGCTGATGCGTCGGCGATGCAGCATGATCGTCAGATCCCATCTACTCGGACCCAATTTGGGCGGCCTAGAGCTTCTGGCCCCCGGAGTCCTCAGGCGCTGGATGACCTCCTCCTCGGTCGTGGCTCGCCCGATCCGGGGGTCGTAGAGGTATTCGAAGGAGTCCCAAAAATGGCAGCGAGCCGCGCCAACCACTCAAGCCCGCCCATCCTCCCTCCCTGATCCTTCCTCACCCTCTACCATTGCTCAATGCTCATCTTCCTCCCCTCCTCCTCTCTGGGGTGGGCATAACCCCCATTTAGCAAAACCACCTTTACTGAAAGCTGCAAGGGCACCCCACGTGCGCACGGCACCACATTCCGAGTGCAACCCAGCAGGGTAGCTAATCGACGTCCGAAAACAAACGGATGTAGCTGGCGATACGCACGTCGATTAGCGAAACATACTAGGGTTTGCGCCGGCACACTCGAATGCAAATGCCGAATGAACCCAGGCAGAAGTCCCGTCGACTTGTCAATGCCCGATACTCCTCCTCCGGCTCCTCATGCCCCTACTCCTCATCATCGTCATCATCATGGCCCTCGACCGCATCATCATTCTCATTATCAGCAGAATCCTCCTCCTCATCATCATCGTCATCAACATCACCATCATCATCATCATCATCATCATCATCATCAGCAGCATTATCATCATCAGCAGCAGCATCGTCATCATCAGTATCAGCAGCAGCATCATCCTCAGCATCCTCATCATCCCCATGATCATAATCCTCCTCCTCCTCCTCCTCATCATCATCATCATTATCAGCATGATTAACAGCATCATCAAAATCATCAGTATTATCAGTAGCATCAGCATCACCATGATCACCAACATCATCATCATCAACATCATCATCATCATCATCATCATCATCGTCAGGATTATCATCATCACCATCAGCATCCTGAGCATACTCATCATCATCAGCATCATCATCATCATCATCATCATCATGAGCATCATCATAACCATTTACACCATCGTACTCATCATGATCATCGTCATCGGCATTGGCATCGATATCAGCATCATCATGAGCATCAGCGTCAAACTCAATACAAATATGTAGCCAGATCAGCATTGACCGAGTCTTCAACATCAACAACATCTGCATCAGCATCAGCAACATAAACAGCAACAGCATCATCATCAAAAGCATCATCACCATCCTCATCCTCATCCTCATCATCATCACCAGCATCATCATCATGATCATCATCGTCATCATCTGCAGCAGTCACATCATCACCCGCATCAGTAGCGACATCAGTGTCAGCATCATTATCAGCAACACCAGCATCACCATCAGCATTATCATCACCATCCTCCTTATCATCATCATCATCATCATCATCATCATCATCATCGTCATCATGATTGTCATCCGCATCAATATCATCATTGTCATCTTCATCCACACCGTCACCATCATAACCATCACCATCGACGGCATTATAATCATCAGCAGCATCATCATCACCACCATCATCACCAGCATCAGCATCATCATCGTCCTCATCAATTTCATCAGCATCATCATCACCATCAGCATCGTAATCATCATCATCAGCATCATCATCATCAACAACATCACCATCATCATCATCATCATCATCACCATCACCATCATCATCATCATCATCATCATCATCATCATCATCATCATCATCATCATCATCATCATCATCATCATCATCATCCTGGTCTTCGCTCATCGCCCCTATCCTCGCTCCTATCTCGTACATCCTACATCCTCATCGGCATGGGTCCTCCTCCTCCTCCTCCTCGCCCTCCTTCCTTAAATTGTAGGCGAAGCACACTCGTAGTAAGTACCCATGAGAGCAAAGCCCTGCAGTAATTAATTTAACGCACCTGGTCAACAACTCGCCCCTATCCTCGCTCCTACCTCCTACATCCTGCCTCCTCCTCGTCATGGGTCCTCCTTCTCCTCCTCCTCCTCCTCCTCCTCCTCCTCCTCCTCCTTCTCCTCCTTCTCCTCCTCCTCCTCGTCCTCGCCCTCCCTCCCGAAAGGGCAGGCGAAGCACCCTCGTAGTAAGTACCCCTGCGAGCAAAGCCCAGCAGTAGTTCATCCAACGCACCTGGTCAACAAACGCCAGGAATGTTCAGCAAACGCAAACTTATGGGGGTCGGCGGGGTCTTCCTCACTTGACCCCTCCCTCCCTGAGCCCCCGGCCGACGCCGGTGACCCGAACCGAATCGAACGTAATCGAATCGCGGGCCCAGTCCACAAAACAACTTGCAGCGCATCGGACCGCAAGCAGCCCAGCCCGGCGGCGTGCGGGTCATGGCGCGAGCCTCTGGCGGCCACTCGGGGCGATTCGGGCGGACCCTGGCCGCTCTCGACGAGGCGCAGCCGCCCCCGGGCAGCGTCGCGAGGCTGAAGAACCGACGGAGACGTCCGAAAGCCTCAAGCCTCGAAACTTCTTCGCCCCCGCCCTCTTCAGCCTACGCCCCCCGAGCGTTGCCCCTGAAGAGGAGGCGCAGCTGCTGGAAACGTCCAAGAGCCGCGTCGGACGTGCGGCAGCGGTGGCGGCGGCTCGCCGGGCTACCACGCGTCCAGCGCCAGCATTACCCCGGCGAAGATCCGGACGTACTGGTGCGACGTCCTGCCGGCCCCCCCCGACTCGGGGGCCTGCGGGCAGTGAGAGAGAAGCCCTGATGGGGGGGGGGGGGAGGAGGGAGGGAGGGAGAGGGAGCAGGAAGGGAGGAGGAAGCAGGGCGGGAGGGAGATGGAGATGGGAGCAGCAGGACGGATGGAAGGATGGATGGATGAATGGGGCTCCCAGCGAGGTGGCATGTTGAGGTTGCGGGCAGGGAGGAGGCAGGAGCAGGGATGCAGCTTCAGCAGGAAGGAGGCAGGAGGAATAGGGAGACGAAGGAGGAGGAGGAGGAGCAGGAGGAGGAGGAGGCGGAGGAGGAGGAGGAGGGAGGCAGGAGGGAACACGGAGCAGGGTGGAGGGAAGGACGACGGAGCAGGGGGGAGGGAGGAAGGAGGAGAAGAGAGAAAGAGGAGGAGGGAGCGGGGAGGAGGATGAAAGAGGCAGGACGGAGGGATGACGAAGCAGGGTGTAGAGAGGAGTGAGAGCGGGGGAACTTCTGCCTTCCTGGCAGCACTCGTACGCATCACGGCATGGCACGGTGTTGCTGCCCCAGGGAGGAAGGAGGGGGACAGAAGGACGACGAAGACGAGGTGCAGGAGGAGGAAGAGGAAGAGGGAGAGGCGGAACATGAGAGAGAGGACGAAGAGGGAGAGCGAGGAGGAGGCGGAGGAGGAGGACGAGGAGGGAGAGAAGGACGATGATGAGGAGGAAAAGGTGGGAGAGAAAGGAGGGGGAGGAGGAGGAACGAGAGGTGGGAGATTGAGGAGGAGGGGGGAGGAGGGGAAAGGAGGAGGAGCAGGAGGAGGAGGAGAAGGGAGAGCGAGGAGAAGGATGCGGAGGAGAGCGAGCGGATTTCGTGGGTCGGCGCTGGGCCCCACCGGCGGCGCGTGCAGCACCGCCCCCGGCAGACCCCCGAGCCTGGCAGGGGGATTCACCATCGGGCCTCCTCGGCGAGCGCAGCTGCCAGAGGGCAGCACGGGGCGAGAAAGCCCTGAACAGCCAGCCGAGACCTCCGAAGCGACGACGCCGACGTTGACGACGACGACGGCGCCGTCGCCGATAACGCTGCCGCCGATGACGACCCCGCCCCTGCTCCAGGTCCAGAGCATCTGGAAGAAGAGACCTCCGTGGCAGCCAGCGTGGACCCCAAACAGTGTGCGCGGTTCTGGCAGTCTATGGTGTGCGATCCATTTGGGGCAACAGATGTGTGGTGCAGTCTATGTGGTGCGATCTATGCTGTGCAAAATACGTTGTACGGAGTAGATTATGCAGTCTATGATGTTCAATATGACTGAGATCTCAATAGATGCGGTTCGCAATATGTGGTTCAATCGACGTGGCGCAAAACATGAACTGCCATCTAAGTTGTGCAAACTATACGGTGCTTTCGATGTGGTACAATCGTGGGGCAACGTTTGGTTGTGCAATATATTTGTCGTTAACTCTGCGGTGCTATCTATGTGATGCAATCTGCGCGGTGCAATCTATGTCTTGCAATCTAGGCAGCGACAGGGCGGCGACAGCGACAGCGACCACGGAGCCGCCAGGCCGCCACGCAGGCCCAGACAGCAGGCGGCGACGAGGCAGCGACGCGGCGGCGACGGCGACCACGGAGCCGCCAGCCCGCTCGACCGGCCAAGACGACGGGTGGCGACGGGCTGGCGGCAGCGCTGCTACGGCGACCACGGAGCCGATGGACTGCCAGACAGACCCAGCTCCTTATACTCCTTATACGACAAACAAGTATAAGCCCCTCAGCGCAAATAAAGTTTGGGGGAGGCAAACAAAGAGGATTTCAGAGATCCGCGCGGATTGGATCGGCAATGGGCTCCCCTCCCTGACGAGGACCTCCGAGAAAATCTCTGCAAGCACTTGTTTATTTTTCGCGGCGCGCAGAAGGGAGTAGGGGGAGGGGGGAAGGCATCTTAGAAGGAGGCTGCTTCTTAGAAGGCGCGGCCCTACAAGAATGCTCGCGCCATCCAAAAAGCAGGCGTGCTTCTAAGAGGCCGTCCCCCCCTCCCCCCACCAGCCTGTGCGCGTGGCTGACTTTTTCATATCGTGAGCGCCGTGTCTCGCCGAGAGGCCTCGTGCGATGATGACAGACACCAGCTGCAAGATCAGCCGCCGGAACGCGTTCGCCGGCACGGGCAGCAGCAGCAGGGTGACGACCGCGACTTCCAAGAGGAGGAAGACATCCGCCACACCATGCCCCCACGGCGCACGTCGGGGATCTACTGACACGGCTCAAATCCAAATCCTCATCAGTCGGGCGTTGCAGGATCCTGCAAGATGCTGCAGGATCCTGAAGCCAAACCTGGGTCAATGCAACCCTGGCGTTGCAGGATCCTGCACGATGCGGCGCTCTGACTGACCCAGGTTTGCATTGACCCCCGTCTCAGGGCCCCCGAACACGCACCCGGGTGAGGAGGAGGAGGAGGAGGAGGAGGAGGAGGAGGAGGAGGAGGAGGAGGAGGAGGAGCAGGAGGAGCAGGAGGAGGAGGAGGAGGAGGAGGAGGAGGAGGGGGAGGAGAAGGAGGAGGAAGAAGAGGAGGAGGAGGAGGAGGAGGAGATATCTGCCGGCGTCGGCGTCGCTTCTGCAGCCGGGGCCCCTCTTCGGAACCCGGGGCCGTCAAAACATAGACCCGGGCCCACGAGCTGCCCAGCTGCCCCTGAGTAGGGAAGGGAGGGACCCAGAGCCCCGGGGCCCCCGCCGTGCCCCCGCCCCAGAAGGCATGCTGAGGTTCTTCGCCCGGTTCTGGCCCCTGGGGGGCCCTCGCGGGGCCCCGGGGCCATCACAACATGCAGCGCCCCTCGGGCGGGGACTCCACTGACGGGCACCTTGCAGAGTACCCGTCAATAAACACCCGCTACGGCGCCGTTGAAACATTGCTCGGGGCGACACGCTGGCCGGGGAAGGAACCAGGGCTTCCAGGGAGCCCGCGTGGAACAAAACACCCGGGGGCATCGGACGCCCGGGCCCGGCACGCGGAGGCGCGGTCGGATTCCAAGCGATGTCCCGTGGGATTTCGTAGCTCGTCCGAGGGCTCCTCCCACCTCTCGTCGCAGCCGGTCGCGTGCACCAGCCCTCCCTCCCGAGGGTTCCCGAGTGGCCCCCTGGCGCCCTCCAACGCCTCGGAAGGGTCCTCCCACACAGAGAGATTCGATGGCACGGTGGCGGATTGGCCGCAGGCAGCTGGATAGAGCATGAACCAACCAGGGTCCATGGCCGCCACAGATTGGGTGGTGCGCGCAGAAAGAGCCAGGGCGCACGAAAGGGGGGCAAATTAGTAATTACAGGAGGGGTTAGCAGACCAGCTGACGCAGATGGTTTTCCTCCGTCCACGAAAAGGGGGCACATAGTTCCTGGGATAACGAGCATCAAGAAAAACTGTCTCCAGGTCCGCGCGTACTCCTTGGATCGGCGCCGGGCCCCCCTGGAGGCCCCTGCGGCGCCGCCCCTGGCGCGCTCCGCGCTGCAAACAGGATGGTCCATTATGGGATTCTTGGCGGCCGTTCGGGACGACTCGGGCACTCCTGGCAACGCTCTCGGCGATCCGCGGCCCGGCAAAACACCCTCAGGGACCAGCAGAAACCGATCCGAGGCGGCGACGCCGGCATCGACGACGACGCCGTCGTCGCCGGTGACTGCGCCGCCAGAGAATGTCCAGGTGCACTGACGAGGTGCCGTGCCCTGGATCCCCCGAGAAGCGATGGCCGTGGAGGCCTGCCCGCCCACGAGAGGCAGTGGAGGTAGAGAGCTGCCCGCCCGCGAGGGCGGGCCGAGGTCCCCGTCCACTTCCTCGGGGCACGGGCCCCGAAGCGGTGGATGTCGGCAGCTTCTGGCGTCGGGGGCGCCCACGAGGGCGGCGCAGAAGTGGGGGTTAGCAGCTCGTGGCCCGGGGCACATGCGCAGAGGAGGAGGGGCGGAACGCACCGAAAGAAGAGAACAGCTAGATACATGGGCTAGCGTCTCCTCAATCGTTGAAATGTGGAAAACTCCTCCAGTGGCGTTTGCACCAAATGGGTCTTTCTTCTGGTCCAACCAGAACTGGGCCTGCGGTTCGGTTTGCTGAGTGGTCGCCGTCGCCGCCCCGTCGCCGCCAAAATTGCACCACATCGATTGCACCACAAATATTGCAAACCGCAGATCGCACAACATATCTTGCACCACAGTGACTGCTCCACATAAACTGCGTTTCGTAGACAGCTCCACATAAACCCAACCAGTCCTCTGGGCGCAGGTGGTCCAACGAGATTTCTTTTCCTTCTTCTCAAGAAACCCTCTCCCCCTGAGGGAAAGGGTTTTTCACTCTTCCCTATTAATAAACACCCCCTCCCCCAGGCGACTGGTAACCAACCAAGAACCATGAGGGCCCCCCCGCCATCCTGTCCAAAAACCATACATGCGCAGCCAACCCGATGCGGCCTCCCCCCACCATCCGTGGCAAAACACAATGCAGAACACACTTGGCGGCCGCGGCGCCGTCTGCGCCGGCTGCGGCGGCGGCGGCGGCTGCGGCGACTACGGCGGCGGCGGCGGCGGCGGTGGCGGCGGCGGCGGGGTCGGCGCTTGCGGCGCGGCCGCGGCTGCGGCGGCGGCGGCGGTGACGGCGGCGGCGGCGGCGGTGGCGGTGGCGGCAACGGCTGCAATGGCAGCCGCTGCGGCGGCGGCGATTTGGCAGCGGGAGCGGCAGCGGCGGCGGCGGCGGCGGGCGGCGCGGCGGCGACGCGGCGCGGCGTTGGCGGCGGCGGCGGTGACGGCGGCGGCGGGGCGGAGCGGCGGCGGCGACGGCGGCGGGCGGCGCGGCGGCGGCGGCGACGGCGGCGGCGGCGGCGGTGCGGCGGCGGCGGCACCGGCGGCGGCGGCGGCGGCGGAGGCGGCTGCGGCGGCGGCGGCGGCGGCAACGGAGGCGGCGGCGGCGGCGGCGGCTTGGCCCCCAGTAGCTGCCCATCCAAAGACGTCTGCTGAATATGCTGAGGCTCGGGCCAGACTCGGGTGCTACGTATGTGCTGGGAGGGCGGGCGGGAGTGAGCGAGACGGCTTGCGGGCGGGGAGGGAGTCTTGACCCCTCCCCCTACCCCCCCTGGACTTCTTTTGGGGGTTTCCGCGAGGTGTCAGGAAGTCCAAAACGGCCTCGACGAGGACGCCCCAATCACTGGTTTTACTAAGAAGGTTTGGGCCCTATTTTGGCCTCTTTGGGGGGAGGCTGAAGGTTGCACCATCTCCTGCTTTGATCGATAACCTTCAAGATGGCCCCAAGAGGCCTTCCAGGGCTCCGCGCAGGCAGCAGCAAGGTGCCTAAGTCTTGGCTGCTGAAGAAAAACAAGTAAACAACAAAACGCGCCGCCGAAATGTCGACGACGCCAGCGCAGGTGGAAAAACGCCAACCCGTCGCGGCCGACGCCCAGGCGAATTCAGATACCAATGAAGTCTTAGGCGCGGGCACAGAGACGCCCGGTGCAGGCGGGGCTGGACCGGACCACCACCACCACCAAGGGACCCGGGGGTTGGACGGACGAGGGGTCGTCGTCGTCGTCGTCGTCGTCGTCCCGCCGAGAGGGGGCTCCAAGAGCCCCAAGATGGCCCCGGAAAAACCCCCAAAAGGCCCCAAGAGGGCCCCAAGAGGGCACCAAGACCCCTAAAAGAGCCCCGAGAGGGCTCCAATACCCTCCCAAAGAGCCCCAGGAGAGCTCCAAGAGGCGATTTTGAGGACTCCTGGGAAAGGGCCGAAATCGAGGACTCCCCATCTTTTGATCGATGCTCTCCTAGATGGCCCCAACAGGGTTTCCAGGGCACCAGCCGCAGCACCAACAGAGGCAGCAACAACATCAGCAGCACCAGCAGCAGCAGCACCAGCTGATGGCTGACAAATCCCACCAGCCCTTTGGGCGACAGGTGGTCTGAGGGATAACGAGGAAGACATAACGCGGAAACGCCTGGCAATCTGCTGTGGATAGGAGGCGGGAGTATGTGTTCACGCGCAACTGGTGATATCTCAGCGACGGGGCCTCGAATGCGATTTTAAGCCTTCAGCTCACTCAGCCGAAGCGAGGCCCCCCGAGATTCTCTGAGCGAGGGAAGCGAACGCATTCTCCCCGGCAGCGAACGTTTTCTCCCCAAAGAACGCCCCCGAATGAGCACGGTCGTGAACTGCGCACAGTCCTCGGGGGACACAGCGCCGACTTGTGGAACGACGCGACCATTGCAAGTCCACGCGGAGCAAACGCCATTGAGCGCGTCCAGTGTCCACGACCAACGAAGGCGGACGCCACCACCACCGCTCTCCCCCCGTCATTGCCCAGCTATCCGGGCAGACGAGAAAATACAACTGGGATTGCCCTCGTTTGATCCCTCGTACCACCCCCTCCTGATCCTCGTCCTCCTCCTCCTCCTCCCCCTTTTTACATTTCTCCTCCTCCAGCTCCTCACCACCATTACCGCTCTCCCCCCAAACACTGCCCGGCTATAGCCGGGCAAATGGGAAAATAAAACCAGGATCACACTCTTTGGACTCCTCCACTTTTTCCTCCTCCTCCTCCTCCTCCTCCTCCTCCTCCTCCTCCCTCTCCTCCTCCTCCTCTTCCCCTCGCCCCCACGCGGCCCCCAGGGATGGCCCGAAAGGGCCTTCCAAGGCCACCCCCTTGCTCCCAGAGATCTCTCGGTTCATCCGGTTGCCCGCGTAGGCAGGGCAGGGCTCGTGGGCAGGGCTTCTGAGTGGACTGGTGGGGATACTTTGTTTTGCTCGCGTGCGACGCAGGCAGCTGCGCCCCGTCTGAGAAGGATACTTTTTTTTTGGTCGGCGGCTCCGAGGCAACGGACAGGGAGCGGAAGCGGCGTCCGGGTCACAGTACGGGGTTAATTGCAAGAGAATTGCCGCCAGCCGGAGTCGGCAGACAGACTCGCAGTTGCACTCTGAGAAGGATACTTTTTTGGTCGGCGGCCGCGCGACAATGGTCTGGCGGCAACAGGCGTGTCCGGGACGGCGGAACAGGCAAATTCCACGCGAGGCGTGCAATGCACGCGCACTGAGCAAAATGCTCAGCATTCACGGGGACGCACCTGGCGCACAGAGGTGCAAGCTGCGGAGCAAGTCGCCCTTGCGGCGCCAAGCTCCTCTGATAATGAAGAGTTGCACAGCGTAGACCGACAGCACAACCTGCACCACACATCCTGCACGACACGCGCAGCACAGACTCCTAGAAACACACTGCTTTGGGGCAGCGGCTTCTGGGCAGTGCGGGCGCGCGCGCGCGGAAATGCTCATGTCTCTTCCCGCGAGAGTTCCGCGGTACCGAGCCTCTGCACACGAGCACGCGAGCGCCGGTCGGGGCCCCCTGCGCCCGGCGCCACCGCGGACGGCCGCGGAGGGCGCCCGCCCGCAGCCCCCTCCTGGATGGTCCGAACGGCCCGGGCCCGCACGGTCACACCACCCCATGTCGAACAGCAGACAGGAGCGGAGTCCACGGGCGGGAACGGCCGGGATGGGAGACCCCGCGCGGGGGCGGGGGCACTTCCTGGCCCGCGCAGGCAGGCCCGCACCCTTCGCCGAGGATGCAGGAACCACTCAGCAGGCCGTCCACGACAGAACAAAACATCCGCACGGTCACGGCGCGCAAGAATGGGGCTGACCGGGCCACGCTGGCTACCCCTGGCTCCATACTTGAAAACCGACTGAGCCTGCAACCCAGAATCGAAACAAGCCCGACCTCTCGGGATTGAAACATTGAAAATTGAAAATCTCAATCGCGGGCTCCCCCGATTGGAATAATGAAAATTGAAAATCTCGATCCCGTCCTGGACAGATGGAAGAATTGGCATTACCATTCTGGAAACGCCCGCCCGCCCGACCCGCCTCGTCCCTTGGCCCCGCTCCACCAGACGGCACTCGAGAGAAACCCACCGCTCTCGCGTCCCGCCCGCCGGGCCCACCGCGCCCGCAGGCCCCGCGTCGCCCTGCCACACGCGAGAGAGGCAGGGAGGGAAAGAGAGAGAGAGAGAGAGTGAAACATCAAACAGAAGCCCTGGCTTTTCAAACATTTGTCATGCTTCGGACCCGCGACCGCGAGTGCAGGATGGAAACTCGGGGTGATGCAGTGGGAGAGGGCAGCGGGCACAGAAATTGAGGCCAGCGCTGGGCGCAATCTGCGAGGACGTCTCGCCCAGAAGGCCCGCTCGAACACCCCGCGGGGAAGCCGCCAAAGGGCGCCATAAGCTTGCCCGCTCGCGGCCCGATTGCAGGGATGTCCCGAGCCAGGCGCTCGGCTGGTGGGTTCCCCCGAAAGCTCTGGAGCACAACTTCGACGGTTTGGAGGATGTGGTCCTCCCGAGGATTTTGTACGTTGTACCATTGCGGCCCTAACGGCCGCCACAGGCTCCCGTTGGCTCTAGGGCCGGGGCGACCTCTGGGGCCCGCGGAGCCATTGGGGCCAGTAGAGCCCGAGGTGCCTCCGGGGCCCAGAGCCCGTCCAAAACCCTCGGAAGACCACGCCCTCAAAACCTCCGTGCGAGTCGCGAGTTCCCAGCCCTCGCAAGAGCCTCGCAGGGCCCCGCGCCGCACTGCCTCGCTCACCTGGCCCGCCCACCCGGCCAAGCGCGGAAAGGGGCCCCGCGCTCTCCTGCCCGACGGCACTGGCGAGAGAGAGAGAGAGCCCTGCTCTCTGGCGTCCCGCTCGCCCAACCGGCCCACGAACGTTGGCCCCGCGCCGCCCGACCACGCACGGGAGGGCCCTGCACGTTCGCTCCCCGCGCCCACGTAGCCCGCCCTGCCGCGCGGGCCTCCCTCTGCCCAACCGCGCGCGCGCGAGAGAGCCCCACGCCTGGCTGGCCCGCCCGCCCGCCCCGCCCCGGCCCTGCCCCGTGCGCCCCGCTCCGCCCGACCACCGTCGGGAGAGCCCTGCACTCCCACGTCCCGCCCGCCCGACTCGCCGCGCCCCGGCGTCCCCGCGTCGCCCGACTGCACTGCAAGAATGCGCCGCTGGGGGGGGGGGCCCGGCGCGGATCCAGCAGATCCGCGCGGAGCGCCAAAAGTCTATGCATATGCCGTCTGCTCTTCTTCGAGGAGAGCCACGTGATTGAAAGTCCCGCCCGCTGGACCCACTTCATTCGTTGCCCCCGCTTCGCCAGGACTGCTCTTATCATACCACCCTCGGAGCGCCCTGTGGCAGAGAGGGGGAGGAGAAGAAGGGGACGGGGACGGGGGAAAAGGGGGAGGAGGAGGGGGAGGAGAAGATGGGGGAGGGGAGGAGGAGAAGGGGGAGGAGAAGGAGAGGAAGGGGGAGGTGGGGAGGAGGGGGCAAGGGGGGAGGGGAGGGGAACTGCATCCGCCACGCCAAGAGAGCGCTCCGCGCTGGGCAGGCCTCGCCCGCCCGCCCCGCCTCCATGCCCCGCGGTGGCCCCGCCTCGCCCGCCCACCACGCGCGGCCGAGCCCTGCGCTTTCGTGTCCCGCCCGTCCGACCCGCGCCCGCGGGCCCCGCGTCGCCCGTCCACTCGAGACAGAGAGAGACAGAGAGAGAGAGAGATGCAGTGGAAGCCAGCCAACAAGACACCTACCACAAGAAGCCCAACCCCGAGACCCCAGGACGTCCACCGATCTTCGGCGCGAGAGCGTCACGCTTCCCACAGCAAAGCCATCGAACTCCAAGGAACCCAGGGCACCCTGGAGGCAAGCAGGGTGTTTCTTTGCATGGGCCTCCACTGTAACAAAACAGAAACAACTTGCCCTGAGCTGGAACGTCCCGCACGTCCGACCCGCCTCGTTCCTTGGCCCCGCTGCGCCCGACCACGCTCAAGCGCGAGCTCTGCGAGCTTGTTCCGCCCGCCCGACCTGCCCTGCCCCCCGGGCCCTGTTTCGAGAGAGAGAGAGAGAGAGCGCGCCAATTACGTGTCAATATTCCGCCCGCCTCGCCCTGCCCCGCGTCGCCCCGCGTCGCCCCACCGCCCTCGAGAGAGAGAAACTCGAAGACGACACTTGACAATCTCGCCCGCCCGACCCGCATCGCCCGTTGGCCCTGCTTCGCCGGACCACACGCGACACAGATCGCACACTGCAGTGCCCCGCCCGCCCGATGCGCTCCGCCTCGTTGGCCCTGCCTCGAGGAAGCCGTGCTCTTCGACGCCCCGCCTGCCCGACTCGCCCCCGACCCCGACCCGCCAGAGAAAACACACGACTTGATGTACGAGTGTGCGGGGATTAAGCATCGGAGCTCCAAAATCCCACCAGCCCTCTGGTCGTGAGTGGTTTAGAACGTAGTAGGGGCGCATCACTGTAGGCGACTGGCAACCAGCCAGGAACAATGAGAACCCCATGAGGGCCACCCCCCACCATCCCTTTCAAAAACAATACCTAGTACACTTTGGGGCAAAGTCCAGAGTCATGTTCGTGAGGCCCACGAGCATTTTGCATGTTTTGTTTGACAGGGACGGCGGGGGTGTCAGCATATTGCCTGCTGCGCGCAGGGCACACTGTCCAATGCACCTCGCGGCTAAATCTCGATCGTGCGCGGCCACCCCGCGATCACTGTCAAGTGGTGGCGTACGGCCTGCTGTGCGCAGGCCACCAGACACAGTGATGGGCACTGGTCTTCGACATGGATGGTGGGGGCCGACGTGCTTCCCGATGTGTGCTGTCGCGTGCGCAGGCGCACCTGACACTCCCTGCACGTGCCCCGACCGTGGCGCACCCGGCGCGGCTGGAGCATGCGGCCCGCCTGGCGCACGCGGAGGCACGTGGCGCATTTGGCGCACCAGGCGTGCCTGGCGCGATCTGGCCCCAGGGGTGCCTGGCGCGCCTGGCGCGCCTGGCACGCGTGGCGCGCCTCACCACAGCGTCGCGCACATGGGCTCCGTTTTTGCTCCCAGTAGCTGCCCATCCAAAGGCGACCGCTGAACATGCAGAGGCTCGGGTGTTAATGATGTGTTGGGAGGGAGGGTGGGAGTGAGCCAGACGGCTTGCTATCTAGGAGGGTGTCTTGACCCCTCCCCCATACGCCCTACCCCTGGACGGGGCGCCCCGCGACCCATTGAAGCGTCCAAGATGGCCCATGATGGCCCCAAGAGCGCCTGAGAGAGGGTCCAAGACGTCTCTAGATGGCTCAAGATTGCTCAATATTGCTTCCAAGATGCTCCTAGAGGCTCCAAGACCGTCTCAAGACGGCTCCAAGTGGCCTCGGAGCACCCAAAGGGCCAAAAGCCTGACAACCATTACGGGAAACCGCAGCTTTTTGCTATCTCGCCGTTTCGCTTCCGATGGCCTTCCAAAGCTTCAAAATGGCTCCAATATAGCACATGGCACCAAGAGATGCCCAAGAGGGCCCCAAGGCCGCCCCAAGAGGCAATTTTAGAGGCGCAAGAGGGGCGATGCTAACGAAGGCCCCGCCCCCTTGTTTGATCGAGGTCCTGCAAGATGACCTCGAAAGGGCCTCCTGGGCTCCAAAGCTATTCCCAAAAGACCCCCAAGAGAGCCCCAAGAGGTGCCGAGACGGCCCCAAACTGCCTCAAGAGGCACCCCTCAACGGCGCACAAGATGCCCCAATGGGCCCCCGAGACTGCCAAGAGGTATCCAAGACAACCTAAAAGGCCTTCAAGGAAACCCCCGGGTATCCAAGCGGCCTCCGGCCTTCTGTTCGCCATCCTGCTCCCCCTCCTCCTCCTCCTCCTCCTCCTCCTCCTGCTACTCCTCCTCCTCCTCCGTTTCCTCCTGCTTGTCATCTGTGCATTCATTCTCCTTCCATCTCCTCTTCGTCCTCCTTCATTTACTCCTCGATCCTCCTCGTCATTCGACAGACAACGGTTGCCCCCTGTCTTGCCCAAACACTTCCCTGGTCACCCCAGCTCTTCTGGGCATCGCTTCTGGATCGACAGGCGGGGATTTTTTGGTACGCGGGCGCACGAGACGGGTCACTATGCCACCGGCTGCGGAACAATGGGAAAAAGAGCAGCACCGGGTGCGGGGCGGGAGAAGATGAGGCAGGCGTATACGAAGACGGCGAAAAATGGACCGATCGTCATTCCGGAGCCAATCGGATTGAACAATCTTGACCGCAGAACTCTGTTTCAATTATTCGTGCTTGAAGCCATGAAACCAAAAAACAACATACTGACGCTCCTATGTTAAATCCGCAACTCCGGGATCGCGAAGTTTGAATGTCGCATGATTTAACTTCAAGTCTTTGAGTCGAAGGTCTGGTTTTCAGTTTGTATGATTTTCCATTGTTCAATCCATCGCCAAAACCCAACAGTCCGAGCAAAAGGCCCCACCATATGAAGCTGCGGGCACCGCGAGGCAAGCGAGGACAAACAGGGGGGATGAGCGAAAGGAGTGCCGAAATGGGGCGGGTGCGCCATGCGGACTATGCCATTGGGACCTTCGGTGGAGCTCCCTATGGGGCCACGGCACGTGTGAGGGGTGAGACAAATCGCTGTCGCCAGGGTGCGCCATGCGGAGGCTGTCGCTGGGGCCTTCTGTGGAGCTCCCTGTGGGACCACAAAGCGTGTGAGAGGTGTGCCGAATCGGGCGCGGGCACGCCATGCGGACCCTGCCGCTGGGCCCTTCGGTGGAGCTACTTTCGGGGCCACGAAACGTGTGAGGGGTGTACCGAATCGGGTGCGGGTACGCCATACGGACACTGCCGCTGGGGCCTTCGGTGGACCCCCCTCGGGGGCCACGAAACGTGAGGGGTGTGCCGAATCAGGTGCGGGTACGCCATGCGGACCCTGCCGCCGGGGCCTTCGGTGGAGCTGCTTTCGGGGCCACGACACGTGTGAGGGGTGTGCCGAGTCGGGCGCGGGTACGCATGATAGTTATGAGATGAGGGCATGTGCAGAGCAGAAGCAGCGAAAGGAAAGAACGCGGGGTGCTGTCTGGGCGGCCGCTCGGGATGACCAGGGCCCCCCCCCCCCGGAGAGCTCTCGACGAGGCGCGGCTGCTGGAAAGCATCCCAAGGCGAGAAAACCTCCACGAACCAACGATAACTTCACACACACACACTTTAAAAAAAAAACCTGCGCGGAGGAGCCCTGTGGCAAAGAGGGGGAAACAGCGGAGAGGGGGCAGGGAAGGGAGGGGAGGGCGAAGCCGCCCGCCCGCGGCCACGCACACGCACGCCGCCGAGGCGGGCCCGCAGCACGCGGCCACGCACACGCGGCCACGCACAACGCGCACGTACGCAGTCCCCCTCCCCCACCTCGGGCGCCCGCGATCGGAGGTGGGGTGGCGCTTCGACGCCCCACCGCCCCGACCGACTCTGCGCGCCGCCTCTCGGGATCGCGCGGCACGGCCGGGACCGCCCCTACCGCGCGGCCGTGTCTCGCCCGGCCGCCCGCGCGCCCTCGAGGGGGAGAAACTGGCCGCGGGCCCGCGGAGGGGACGTGTGCCGGCTGCTGCCGCGGGCAGATGGTGGAGATGGCCACAGTGCGCGTGCTTGAACGATTCGCGATGACGCCCACTGATTCGCGTTGTCCAACGATGAGCTATTTCACGATTCGCACGGTGTCAAAACGAGTCGCTGTCTTCGAGGACTGGCCGACCTGGAGGCCGAGGCTTCTCTGAGCCAAAGATTGCCCATGGATGGCCCGTGGAAAGGCAAGGGTGTAAGGAGGCCCTCGGCTCTGCGATCCGCATGGGCAGCGGAAGCTACGTAAACACAAACGTTCGGAGAACCGCGCCGAAATTGTTGGATCGGAGGTTGGACCCCCCCCCCTTTCCTGGCGCGCGGACGCCGCCAGGGGTGCCCAACGCCGACCCAAGACATCCGCGCGGATCTCCAGACGCTTCTGCCCACGCCGCTCCTCTGCTGCGGTGCAGGCATCGTGCTGCCAGAGGAAACGCCAGAGGAGGGGAAGGAGGAGGAGGAGAAGGAGGAGAAGGAGGAGGAGATGGAGTATGATGAGGAGGGAGAAAAGGAGGAGGAGGAGGAGGCAGGGGCGAAGAGGAGGAGGAGGAAGAAATGAGGAGGAGGCAAGATGATGATGAGGAGGAGGAGCAGGAGGAGGGAGGAGGAGGAATATGAGGAGGAAAGAGGAAACCGAGGGAGGGAATGATGATGATGATGAGGAGGAGGAGGAGGAGGAGGAGGAGGAAGAGAAGGACAAGGAGGAGGAGGAGGAGGGAGGAGGAAGAGGGAGAGGAGGGGGAGGAGGAGGAGGAGGAGGAGGAGGAGGAGGAGGAGGAGGAGGAGGAGGAAGCGGAGGGGGACGAGGACGAGAAAGAGGAGAAGGAGGAAGAATATGATGATGAGGAGGAGGGAGCAAAGAGAAAGGAAAATGATGATGATGACGATTCTGATGATTATGATCCGCCGGCCCCCTTGTGGGGCCACCAGGCTGTAGGCCCGTGATTCGCAGTTTCCTGTACCAGTTGTAGTTTGTAGTTTCCAGTGTTACAGTTCTGCTTCTTGCTGGTTACTGCAACTAGTTGATTGACCGCGCGAGGGGAGGGAGGCCCAAACCAGATTTTTAGCACCACCTGGGCGCGTTGTCTGAATTGCTAGGGGGGCTCAAAATCGACACCCCTCACGCAGATCCGCGGGGTCAGGGTCCAAAAACACAGGGGATTTGCCACAGTTCTGAAATTCGGTGCCACCCCTCACGCAGATCCGCGGGGTCAGGGTCCAAAAACATAGGGGATTTGCCACAGTTCTGAAATTCGGTGCCACCCCTCACGCAGATCCGCGGGGTCAGGGTCCAAAAACACAGGGGATTTGCCACATTCTGAAATTCGGTGCCACCCTCACGCAGATCCGCGGGGTTAGGGTCCAAAAACACAGAGGATTTGCCACAGTTCTGAAATTCGGTGCCACCCCTCACGCAGATCCGCGGGGTCAGGGTCCGAAAACACAAGGAATTTGCCACAGTTCTGAAATTCGGTGCCACCCCTCACGCAGATCCGCGGGGTCAGGGTCCAAAACCTGGTCTTCCATGGCCCATTCTCCGAGAGAGGGGGCCGGCGGCAGGGGGCGAAGCCCTTACGGATAATGATGATAACGATGACGCTGATGATCATGATGATGATGACGATGATGATAATGATCATGATGATGATGCTGTTGTTGATGATGATGATGATGATGAGGATGATGATGATGGGTTGATGATGAGGATGAGGAGGAGGAGCAGGAGGAGGAGGAGGAGGAGGAGGAAGGGGAGGAGAAGGAGAGGGAGGAGGAGAGGGAGGGGGACGA